TGTACACCTTATTGTTCTTTAGATCACATTAGTGTACACGTTATTGTTCTTCAGATCACATTAGTGTACACGTTATTGTTCTCTATTGCATTAGTGTACACCTTATGTTCTTTAGATCACATTAGTGTACATGTTATTGTTCTTCGGATCACATTAGTGTACACGTTATTGTTCTCAAGATCACATTAGTGTACACCTTTTTGTTCTTTAGATCACACTAGTGTACATGTTATTGTTCTTCAGATCACATTAGTGAACACGTTATTGTTCTCAAAATCACATTAGTGTACACCTTATTGTTCTTTAGATCACATTAGTGTACATGTTATTGTTCTTCAGATAACATTAGTGTACACGTTATTCTCAAGATCACATTAGTGTACACCTTATTGTTCTTTAGATCACATTAGTGTACACCTTATTGTTCTTTAGATCACATTAGTGTATACGTTATTGTTCTCTAGATCACATTACTGTACACGTTATTGTTCTTCAGATCACATTAGTGTACACGTTATTGTTCTCTAGATCACATTAGTGTATACGTTATTGTTCTCAAGATCACATTAGTGTACACGTTATTGTTCTCTATTGCATTAGTGTACACGTTATTGTTCTCTATTGCATTAGTGTACACCTTATTGTTCTTTAGATCACATTAGTATGCACATTATTGTTCTTTAGATCACATTAGTGTACAAGTTATTGTTCTTTAGATCACATTAGTGTACACGTTATTGTTCTTCAGATCACATTAGTGTACACGTTATTGTTCTCTATTGCATTAGTGTACACCTTATTGTTCTTTAGATCACATTAGTGTACACGTTATTGTTCTTTAGATCACATTAGTGTACATGTTATTGTTCTTCGGATCACATTAGTGTACACGTTATTGTTTTCAAGATCACATTAGTGTACACCTTATTGTTCTTTAGATCACACTAGTGTACATGTTATTGTTCTTCAGATCACATTAGTGAACACGTTATTGTTCTCAAGATCACATTAGTGTACACCTTATTGTTCTTTAGATCACATTAGTGTACATGTTATTGTTCTTCAGATAACATTAGTGTACACGTTATTCTCATGATCACATTAGTGTACACCTTATTGTTCTTTAGATCACATTAGTGTACACCTTATTGTTCTTTAGATCACATTAGTGTACACCTTATTGTTCTTTAGATCACATTAGTGTACACCTTATTGTTCTTTAGATCACATTGGTGTACACATTATTGTTCTCAAGATCACATTAGTGTACACGTTATTGTTCTTTAGATCACATTAGTGTACACCTTATTGTTCTTTAGATCACATTAGTGTACACGTTATTGTTCTTTAGATCACATTAGTGTGTACCTTATTGTTCTCTAGATATCATTAGTGTACACGTTATTGTTCTTTAGATCACATTAGTGTACACGTTATTGTTCTTCAGATCACATTAGTGTACACGTTATTGTTCTCTATTGCATTAGTGTACACCTTGTTCTTTAGATCACATTAGTGTACACCTTATTGTTCTTTAGATCACATTAGTGTACACGTTATTGTTCTTCAGATCACATTAGTGTACACCTTATTGTTCTCTATTGCATTAGTGTACACCTTATTGTTCTTTAGATCACATTAGTGTACACCTTATTGTTCTTCAGATCACATTAGTGTACACGTTAACGTTATTGTTCTCTAGAACATAATGGAGCAAAAATAAAATTGTTCTGTGTTATGTGACATTTCTACCTATTTTTAACAGCGGTCTTTTCAAATATAAAATTGAAAACAGGAATCTGAACAAATGTGAGGCATATACAATTCTTGCAGGGGTAAATGAAAAGTGGAAGTATTCACATAATTTTGACATGCTCCCCCATGATGTGCACATATTTTTTCAGCGTTATTGGTTAATGTTCTTGCTATTTTTCATGGTGAAGACCTACAAAATACAAAATATAAAAACATTACACAAAAACATGGCGCGTTCATAAATGCAGTATCATCTGTATCAAATCCATCTCACTGGTGGATTTTGTTCGCCGTGTGTGGCTGTGGCTACCATAGCCATACTATCACTACACTGACCGGGATAAAAAAGGAAGATAATCGCAATCGTTTGATTTACGTAGGAGCTCTTTGTGTTCAGTTCTGTTTAGTTCAGACTATATTTCCTGTATTACGATTGTAGTCAAGAACCTGCCATTGTGGCGGCTCAGAATAATTTCTCCGACTAGCGCCGTTGCGTGAACGTGGCTCGTTGGCAGGACCATACAGCCTAACATAGTGATCATACAAACCAGAATACCCGTTACCGACGACCCCGGGCAAACCTTGTAAATGAAATTTACTTGATTTTGTTAGATACCATTGCCCTTATATGACATCGACTGGGTGATTGACCAACTTTTTGAGATCTGCGCATGCGCAGTTGGCTGCTCTAATATAGATGCCCTATCACAAAAAAGAACCATTCACTTCTAGACTAAAACAAGTGAAAGATAAGGTCACCTGTGGAAACCTCGGCCCGACCATATGCATGCCTATATATTTATAATACCACCTGCGTGATTTATCTTCTCGCACCTCTGAACGAAACGATAACTTGCGTTTTATACGTTGCATACAACCGCTGCATTTTCATAGCGGACATACTCGGTCCCACCTCTTTAACGTTTCGGTCAGACGTTTCCGTAGCAAACTATCAACTTTTTGGTTGTGTAACCGTATTCACGAATATCAGAAGAAAAATTAATTAATAAAACCTGTGCTGCATTTGTGAAGAGGAACTGAATATGAACAAAAAATACTTAATTGTGTTATTATATTATTATTACTAGATCTTGACATCCACATGTAGAATATAACGATCACGTGGTCTCATCGCATATTGTCTTTTGGCATACATTGTTTTCACTAAAGTTACATAAATTACAGTACGGCGTCTGATCATATTTTTTTATTGGCAAGACAGAATTTACTAAACCGAACTTCTCAACAAGACAAATTTGCCGAGACAGATTTAGCGTCTGCACGCCTCTAAAACATTCTCTACAAAACAAGGTTTACATCTATACGTAATTGTTTAATACCAACATATTTTGTCAGATTGTCATTTGCAAGGTTATTACAATATGAACGAAATCGAATATACATTTTTTAAATATTTTTATTCCACACTATAGAAATTAAAATTTATCATACACTAAAACTGTTGTGTTTGCAGGTCTCACGACTGTATTCGTTGGATGAGGAAAAACAAAAGCACTAATTACGCATGCGCAGTGTACATACCTAAACGGTGTACGTAGTGCACTTGAATATTGTAGTAAAACTCTGATACGTGCTACAGCACTATTTTCAGGTCGTGGTAAATCATAGCCCAAAGTATTCAACAACTTACAGTATGATAAAACAGCAAAACCAAAAGTTACCTGTTCTCGTCCATATTAAATCTTAAAGCGGACGAGTCGTCGCCTGCGCATGCGTCATATGGCCATACGCGTGTCATTGTTTATAAACAAGAGTCTGCCCATGAGACTTTGCGTTTTTAGCATGTGCTGGTATCGTCACCTGGGACTCAATTCCTGCACTTGCGCAGGTGACGACCCTCCCGCTTTACGGTTGGCTGCGCATTTGACATACTCGGGTATTTTAGCGCATATAACAGTGACAAAATGTCATGTCCGTCTGTAATTAATGTTAAGGGAAACAATAGTAAAATTACCAAAACTAGACGAAGCATGCTATTTTCACCTTGTTTTGTACATCGGTGACCCCCACATTTTTATTTATTTGTCTTGTACCATGAATATGTCACATATGGAAAAAATAAAGATTTCTTTTTTAAATATTGAGTGACATTCTAGTAGTCATAGTAGTCCCAGGCGCACCACTGAAAGGCATTCGCAAATATAACAAGATGCCAATATAAAACGGTTATATTGTTTTATAAGTACCAAAGTTTAGAAGGCCATGAAACATAGTGACAGGAAAAAAAAAAAACTTTTACTTACTCTCTGACGAAAGTAAGCCAACTTCTCATCAGTCATATTGTGCCGGGTTCGTGTCATTTATGATATTTAATTATGAGTTTTGTATTTTGTTTGTTTCCAGAAACTCAATGTCACCCTGGCCATGAAATTCACACTAGTCACCTTGTTTATAACCATTTTATTTTTCGGAATAACAGTTTATGTCTTTTTGATGACTAAGTGGAGTACAACGTTGAACTTTAGACCTATTACTAGAACGACACAGTTAAAATATCCTAGGTAGGTATATTAACACTCGTGTTATTAATAAGGATGAAAATGTTGCTTTGAATACAACAAAAATGTCTGTGATTTGATCGTATATTTTCTTCTGCAAAGGTACATTTGTCAATACAGTTAGTAAACAACGATTTTCGGTAGCTGGCAACCCACATTACTTTTTTTGTTTACTATGTGCCCCTCGTCGTCATGATATGTCACAAGACGTTCCGATTTATTCAACACATTCACCGCGTGCGTAGATGTCAACAAATAAAATAAATCTAATACATTCGTCTATGAACTTTGTTTGTGTTTGCAAAAATACGCAATATACGAACGAGCCTTTGTAAGTTTTTGTATGGAAAGCTTCTTGGCATATTTGCTTGTTTTGTCGCTATTACACTATAAAATACTAACGCTCCAAATCAGAGAAACAAACTACGGTGAAATGAACTACGTATGTCTATAGCATGTAATTCCAGAGACGAAAACGAAAATATATTTCCTAACTGAGATTCTGTATTATACCTCTTAGATTTACGTAGTGTAGTTGTTATGACTAGCTGGGGGGGGGGGGGATCAATTGCATAACATAAGTTCTAATTAATTACGTATTTCCTTATAGTGTCACTACAGAGCTTATCAAGAACAATAATTCTAGCATCAACAATTGGATATCTAAGTAAGTTTTTTTTCACATATTGCCGCGTTTTGTGTTTTTTGTTCTATGTACTTTCCTCTCACACACATGTAATTTGTTACGAAAAATACCACAGGCTCTGTTGATTTGCCGAACGGCGACATTAAAGGAGTTCAACCCTATGTCAAAAGAACCTCCCTTCGCATACATTGTGGAAAATATATCATCAAATTGAAGTGAACTCAGTCAAATATATTTGTTAAAATTATATTACAAATTAGGATTTGTATACATTTATAAAATTCGTGTTTTACCCTCCGTGTCAATTTTTAAATACGAATAAATGTGTTTATCCGGGTCTTAAAATGTCACCCATGTGTTTATCGTATATTTTCGTCAGCAGAGACACACTTGTCAATAGAGTTAGTAAACAACGATTTTCGGTAGATGTCACCCAAATTACTTTGTTGTGTTTACTATGTGCCCTTCTTCATGATTATACTACTGTTATACTATAAAAAAACTAAAACAATTAAAATCAGAGAAACAAATTACGCATGACTGTATCATGTAATTTGGGTTCGTGGCTAATGACGGCCACATGAATGTTTAATATTTTCTGGAATCTAACATTTTGGTTTTTGGCGTAATTTAAACTGGTGAATTGGCGGCAAGAAATCACAATTTAAAGTTTATCTGTAGTTTTCAAAGTTATGCTCGTGGTGGCAATATCGCCTTTTCAAAAATAAGATTTTGAAATGAACAACGAAACTCATATCCTATTCTCAATTTGAGGCTTTTCATTTCATTGAAGCGCAAGGGGATACTGTCACGGGCCCAACGATAATAGATCAAAGGCAAGCAAAATCAAATCAAATTGTCTACGAGATGACCTCGTGAATGGCTTGCAATGTACACTATAGAACAGTGATAATTGTTATTGCCTGTAACGGAAATTAGTTGTCTGTATGGGAGAATAAGAGACAGAATAAAGTTGGGACATCTGAGTTTATTCTCTGGTACGTTTTATATTTTGAGGCGGCGTGTGGAAATGTTTGCATATTAATTAGACATCAAAAGTAACGAATACATGTCGCGTTCTATGGTGACGATTCAATCTTCCATTATTCAACCCGTCGTTTGTTCGTCACGTGGCTATATTCCTGTCACACTATTTGTTGAAACTTTTTCATTATTCAAAAGTGTTATCCCATTTTCGAAATCGCACTTAGGTGGTTAAACGTGTTGAGTGATATAATATGTTGGAGTTAGCGTTGGATCGTACATTGTTTTAATCCCGTAATTTTGTTCACAGACAGTCTCATTTACAATGCGATCCACTTATTAGAGGGTGAATACCACGATGATTACAGAATCGTCGCCCGCTTCTTTCAGAAATTCCACTATGCTCGGATATTGAGCGGCCAACCGGCATTTGATCTCGTTGTGAGAAGTCCCCTGTTTGACAAGAACACTGATATACTCAATTGCAACATTTTTTTCGATCTCCATTTCAATTAGTAAGGCCACGAATCGGTTGGCGTGGCTTTAGTTGTAGAATATGATGTCGTCATGCACAAAACGAGCACGTGTCAATCTATATGAAAGTAGGCGTCAAAACAGAGCTGACTGGTAACATTGTAGCATGCGCGTTGCTGGGCTCGCCGTCAAAAACCAAAATGCTAGATTCCAGAAAATATTAGAAATTCACTTGGCCGTCATTAGCCACGGACTAATTTAAGATATATTCCCTAACTGAGATTTCGTATTACATCCCTTAGATTTACGTAGGGTAGTTGTTATGACTAGCTGGGGGGGGGGGGGGGTCGATTGCATAACATTATATTTCATTAATTACCT